GGTGACGCCTCTAGGGGCGTTTTGGCGGCGTCTTGGGAGTCTTGCTGGGCCTCTTGGGAAGCTCTTGGTGCCTCCTGGGAGCCTCCCGGGAGTCTCTGAAGTCATCTGGGGGGGCGCCTCTAGAGCCCTTGCGAGAACCTTGGAGCAATCTTACGGCAAAGCGCTCGAAAGGCTTGGGCAGGTCCCCTCTTTTGGCTCTCTCTTGGCGAGCGCGCTGAAGGTCCAGCTGGGCTGGACAGGTAAACTCATGGGACCTAGATGTTTACGGTGGTTTCAGTGGAAGCCAGGAGGACACAAAGACGACCCAAGAGAGTGCCAAGACAGCGTCAGAGAGTTCAACAGCATTCCCGAAACATCTGTGCAGTGTGACCCCGAAGTATTGATGGGACTCGGGATGAACCTGAACAAAAAGAAAATCACTGGAATTCGCTTATTTGCTCAAGTGGGCCCTCCTGACATGTAGTGCTCAGGAATCGGGGAGCTCTTGGGAGGTAGTTTGGAGGCCGCTGTGGGCTGCCTGGGGGCCTCTTGGGGCCACTTTTGGGCCTCTTCGGGGCTCTTGGGGGCCGCTTCAGGCTCTTTGGGGGACTCGTGGGGCCTCCTGGGGGTCTCTTGGAGCGGAAAGCCAGGATTGTCGACTTGCGTTCCCCCTGTTAGGCGGCGTCTCGGGCTATCTTGGGGCTCTCTTGGGCTGCCTCGGGGCGCTCTTGGGCCGTCTCAGGGCCTTCTCGGCCAGTCTTGGAGCCGTCCTGGAGGCTCTTGGGCGGTCTTGGGGCGGTGTCTTGGGTGCCTTTTCGGCCGTCTTGGAGCGTTTCAAGCTCGAACACGCGAGAAGGCCAACAACCTCAATGCAACAAAACAATGAAAGGCAACGATTTGGGCACCTTCGGGCGCTCTCGGGACGCCTCTCGCTCCAGGACGCCGCTCGGAGCTCTCTTGGGGCCTCTTGGAGGCCTCCTGGGAGCCGGGAGAGGAGAGCTGTCCGAAGTCTGTCTTGGGCTGCTTGCGAGCGTCTTGGGCCGTCCGTTCGCGTCTTGAGGGCGCCTTGGGGGCGGCCGCCTTGGGCCGTCCTGGAGCGTTTTGGGGGTTCCCTGGAACGCCATGGGGTATGGTATTGGGAACTGCCCCCGGATGTTCCCGAGGTGTGGGACGCTCCCAGGGGGGGGCGGGCATAACCTCGCGCGCTTCGCGCGCGCTTAGGTTCTAGTTGCAGCTGCGCTGCGGCTGCCACCGTTCACACCGCGTATTTCGCTACGGCATCAACTGCCATTTTTTGCTACGATGACGACCACAACCACTGTCGCTCCATCGCCAATATGCGCATGACGGTCTCCTTCACGACAACTGCACTTACATCGACCACGGTACACAATTAGCTGAAACTCTGCTTGTACGACGACCACTACGGCTTCCACTGTCACCGCCGCCACCACAAACATTTCAACTATCGCCAACGCCATTACCGGCGCATATGCGACAGCCACCACCACCACCACCACCACCACCACCACGCCTAAGTCCCCAACGGCATCGCCTGCTGCACTCGTTTCCCCTACCGTAGGTTACTTTGAGATCCTCTTCGGCCTCCTCTGTGTTGGCACCGGGGCCATTTGGGCTGTCTTCCGGCAGTTCGGGCTCTCTTGTGAGTGTTTTCTTATTCGGCGTTTCGACATTGGGCGGAAACAGGTGGGGGAGCGTGGGGTCTGGCTCCAGACCTCTGCTTCGTGCGACTGCCTGCAATAGTGCTGCCCCTGGGGGAGACTCCCCCCGGTCGCAGCAGGCGCCAGAAACAGCCAAGGAGGCCGAGGGCTTTGTGGGCCCCAGAAACGCCAGGGCCGTTTTCTCACTGTTTCCAAGGAAAATGGCCCTTGAAAATGGAAACGGCAAAAACACGGCGACCGGAAACGGCAAAAAACGGCTCCAAGATTGGAACCGGAGCCGGAACCGGTCAAAAAACGGCGACGGAACCGGTAAAAAAAACGGCGTCGGAACCGGCAACAAAAACGGCAAAAAAGAACCGGTAAAAAAAGGCCCTGTCGTTTCCAGGGCCCACTAAGGCCGAGGGCCCGCGCCGATCGGCGAAACCACGCATAAGAAAACGACCACCTTCGAGCGCTGCCAGACCTTAGTGGGCCCTGGAAACGACAGGGCTGGTTTTTTTACCTGTTCCGTTTTGCCGTTTTTTCGCCGGTTCCGACGCCGTTTTTGTTACCGGTTCCGTCGCCGTTTTTTGAGCGGTTCCAGCTTCGGTTCCAATCCTGGAGCCGTTTTTTTGCCGTTTCTGGTCGCCCTGTTTTTGCCTTTTTCCATTGTCAAGGGGTATCTTTTTGGAAACGGTGAAAAAACGGCCCTGCCCTTACCGGGGCCCACAGAGTCCCAGACCGTCCGGGGCCCCCCCGTGGGGTCCCCTTCGGCTGTTCGTGAGGCGCCTGGGCCCAGTGTTCGGAGCGCGGTCGGCCATCCCTGGGCGCTTCGCGGCTGCTCCGGGGAGCGGAGGGATGCCCCGGGGAGCTCCACGGGAACTCCAAAAGGGCGACACCATGTACTTCAGCTGTTGACGAACGAGCAACACACACCCATACCCATAGGGGCGTTGTTGAGAAGAGGACTGGCTATGGGTCTGGGTGCGGGTTGTTGGACCCTGGGGAACGCTCCCGTTCGAGCGGGGACCCCCATCCGACAACACGCACCCATAGCCCTCTCCGACCCCCCTATGGGTATGGGTGTGTGTTGTTGGTTCGTCAGCTGTTCCAGAAACCGCACTGTATCTACATGTAAACATGTACATGCACATGTACGTGTGTATGCATCCCGCCGGAGCCCCGGAAGATTCCCAAAACGCCTGGGTGGTTCCCCCTGTCGCCTCCAAGACGGCCAAGATTGCCCAAGATGGCCTCCAAAATGCACTCAAGACGGCCAAGATGGCCTCCGAGACGGCCTGAGAGGATCCAAGATACTTCCAGATACACCCAAGAAGCCTCCAAGACGGCCCAAGACTGCCCAAGAGCTGTCCAAGAGGCCTCCCAGACGGCCCAAGAGACCTCCGAGAGGTCCTCCAGGAGGACCCGATGATGCTAAAATCATTGATGTTCCTTCATGTTTTTTAGCGATTTTCGTATTTGCGCTTTGTCGGCCTTCCGACGACCCAAGACGGTCCAAGAGGCCCCCAAGATCGCCCCCAGAGCGCCCAAGAGGCCTCCAGGGTGGCCTCAGGACTGCCCAAGAGGCCCCCAAGACGGCCCCATGAGGGCCCAAAGACGGCCCAAGAGGCCTCCAAGACGCCCAAGGAAGCCTCCAAGACTGCCCTGGAGCACCCCAAGAAGGCCCTAATTCGGCCCAGAGAGGCCCCCAAGACGGCTTCCGACGGCGTCAGACGTGTCAGGAGGAGCCCACCCTGACGGCCCAAGATGGCTCTAAGATGGCCTAAGAGGCCTCAAGAGAGCCCCCAGGAGGGCCCGAAGAGGCCAAAATCATGGATGTGCCTTGGGTTTGTCAACGATGTTGGCACTTGCTTCGGTTCGGCATTCCGACGGCTCGAGACGGCCCAAGAGCCCCCAAAGATCGCCCAAGAGGCCTCCAAGATGGCCACAGAACGGCTCAAGAGGCCCCCAAGACGGCCCCAAGAGGGCCCAACGACGGCCCAAGAGGCCTCCAAGACGCCCAAGACAGTTTCCAAGACGGCCCCAGAGCGTTCCAAGAGGGCCCCAAGTCGGCCCAGAGAGGCCCGCAAGACGGCTTCCGACAGCGTCAGACGGGCCAGGACCCCACCAAGACGGCCGAAGATGGCCCTAAGATGGCCGAAGACGGCCCAAGAGGCCTCCAAGAGGGACCCCAGGAATGCCCGTAGAGGCCAAAATCATGTGTTTCCCGTAGGTTTTTGGAGGATTTTGGCATTTGCTTCTTTTCGGCCTTCCGACGGCCCGAGACGGCCCAATAGCCCCCAAAGATCGTCCCAAAATCGCCCAAGAGGCCTCCAGGATGGCCCCAGAGCAGCCCGAAAAAGCCTCCAAGACGGGCCCAAGAGGGCCCAGGAGGCCTCCAAGACGCCCAAGATGGAAGACGGCCCTGGAGCACCCCAAGAGAGCCCCAAGTCGGCCCAGAGTGGCCCCCAGAACGATTTAAAACAGCGTCAGAGGGGCTAGGAATCCACCAAGATGGCCGAAGAGGCCCCCGAGAAGCCCCCAAAGGCCCCCAAGAGGCCTCCAAGAGGGCCCGCAAGATGCCTCCAAGAGGCTCCCAGGAAGCTCCCAGGAAGCTCCAAGAGTCTCCCCAGAGGCTCCCAAGATGCCCCCTCCTCCTCCTGCTCCTCCCCTCCTCCTCCTTCTCCTTCACCTCCTCCTCCTCCTCCACCTCCTCCGCCTCCTCCTGATCTTCCCCAGCATCCTCCCCCACGTGATCCCCGAAGTTTTTCCACAACGGCTCGGGGAAAACATGGTCCAATAGCTTGGAAGAGCTCTTGCCACAACGCTCGGCCACATGAGCGATGCTAGAAGGCAGGGGGTGGCGGTGACTCGCCGTAGGCGTCTTCGATAACGTCAACGTTTCAATGTGCGCTGATGAATCCTATCCACCACCGCATGCGGTTCCCAGATGCGCCAAGGCAGCGCAAAGACGCACCGACGCGACTCTGATACATCCCATTACGATAGAGATGAGGCCGGCAGCAGGGGGCGAAGCCCTTACGGATAATCTATCAGCGGCGGATGAATGGCGGTCGGGATCAGGGAGGGAGGGGGAGGGGCGTCCCAATTTGTTTGACAGGTTTGGGAAAGTAGGGCAATATTACTCTAAAACACATGACTCAGCTTCTATTCCAGACCAGTTCTTGGGAATCCTAGATGAAGACCCCTCAGGCGAATTCTGGCTGGGAAAAAACCAGGAGCGTCCAAAAGCCTCAGTCCTTGATCCTCGCTTTGCGTCTCCTCCTTGCCCTGCCTCTCCTCGAGAGGGCGGCCGGCGCCGCCAGCGCCCCCCCCCGCTGCCCACCGGCGGGGACCCGCCTGCATGGATCTCGCAGGCCGTTAGTGCGATCGTCGCAGAATCTCTGCCACAGCTCCTGGGCCGAGGATTGCTGTGAGAGTTTTGTGGCAGCTCATGGGAGCATCCCATACCATCTTATTGGCTCTTGCGAATCGGCGCTCGTCGACGCTCGTCGACGCCAATGGGCGCCAAATCGAGGCTAATCGACGCTAGGAAACGCTGAATCGGCGCTGTCTCATCGATCTCCAGACGCGAATCGGCACGAATGCACTCCAAGGACGAACTACGAGGGTACACAAGGCTCCCGTGATTTGCAATGAGACGACGACCGAGGGCCGAGGATCGACGGCGGCGGCGGGCATTGCGCCGTGCGCCGACCCAGAGACGCCCGCGTCGCAAAACAGGTCTGGACGGAGCTGTATCGCCTCCGTCGGACTCCCGTGGCCCTCGCTGGGCCCCGGGACCGTCGAACAACGACTCGGGAGGAGGAACGGGCCCAGGGGATGAGAGGCCGCATATTGGGGGTTGCCTCCACAGGGGGTTGCCTCCACAGGGGGAAGATGATCCTAGATTTCGGTGTTGGTGGTAATAGTTTGGTCACCTTGGAGGCCAGAATATTACTACAATCGCCGAGATCGGGATCGTCTTCCCTCGGTGGAGGCACACCGACGATCTTGGTGTTGGTGTTCACATCTAGGCTTGCGAACATACGTTTTCGTGAGCTGTCACGCATGTGCAGGTGCGTAGTTCTGCTGAGCCACTGCGCCGTTCGGGTGCGACCTCGCGCTAGCGAGCCCGGACTCCCAGGGACCCCGTGTGGAAGAGGCCAATACATGCGAGGCCTGGGGACACCGATGGCAAGGACGACGACGTGCGTCGACGGCGGCGGCGGCGAGGCTCACGATATCGACTGAGAGGTCAGCAGGCGCTGGATGCCCGTTCTGGGGAATGGTCCTGCGGTCCCTCGCTACACTCACGCGTCGATGCTGCGTGGAACGTCCGCCAACTCGAGTCGGACTGCTGGAGTCGAGCTGGAATCGAACTGGGGTCGAGCTGGGGTCGAAGCAGGGTCGAAGAAATCCGCTGCCAGGTTGGCACCAAAACGAACGTCTAACAGACAGGCTGGAGCCGTCCGAGGGGCCCCGGTCAACGTCGGAGTGGCGTGCACAGGCAGGCGGCCGTCTGCGCGCCACCATGCCTGCTACTATGGGGGGCCATCAGGGGCTCCCAGAGGCCAGAAAAAAACACACAAAACGTTTTCTAGTCATGGTAGAAATCCCGGATCCCCGACGATCTGATCTTTTTCGATCTGCGCGTTTCTCCTCGACTCCGGCCCCCGAAGCCCGTCACATGTTTCAGCGATCCGTCCAAAAGGCCGCCCGCGATGCCCTCGAGCTCCACGATAGTTTGCTTGCTCCCGTTCACCAGCAAATCTATGTGGTGCTCATTATGTTGAAGAGACTACATTGTGAATTATAGATGGTGCAGATAGGTCGCGGAATAGGTGTAATGTCATCTACGCTGGGCAATCGATGAGGTGCAGCTGACTACCCTGCAAGACGCGCAACCACCCCTATGCTCGTGCAATTACCCCACCAAGCCACCCGCAACGTGGTTTGACAAGCTCTTGCGGCGGCGATTGCGATGACTGCTTGACGCTGGCAGGCGCATCGCTACGGCAGCGCCAGCGCGCACAGCCTCGCGCCCAGAGCGGCCTGCTAGCCTGGCGCGACCGACGCGACTGTGGTGGTGCTGACCGCTGAGTACTCTCGAGCGCGTCTCGCAGGCCGCGCTGACGGCAGTGCGACTCGGTGACCTGGGCGGGCGCGGTATCGAAGCGACGTCGACAACGGCAGACATGACGATGATAGCAGCGATGCTGGTGGCGATGGTGACAAAGACGACGGCAAGGCCAACGACGGCGCCGATGCTGATCACGCCGACGACGATGGTGGTGTCCTCGCGTCGGTGATGAAGGTTTTGGAAGGAATCCGACAAGCGCGCCCGAGGGGCCCGCATGAGGTTTGTTGCCCAAGATCGTGCCCCCCCCTCCAGCACGCGCCCAAGGGCGTTGGAATGATTCGGACATGCGAGCGCGGATGGCCCTTTTGGTCGAAACTAGTGAAACTGTTGAAGACTCAAGCTTTGTTTTAGAATTCGCGAGGGCGCGCGCGCAGACTTCTTCTACCACTCGTGTTGCAACACCAATGGCCTTTACATGTGTTCGGGGCATGTGACTTTGAAAACCAGACGCAACTTGCAATGTTTGAAGGATTTCGACAAGCGCGCGACGACGCGCGCGAGCGGACTTCGTCCCATGTTTGTGCAAGGGATGTTTGCATGGGATGCGGGGGGCCAGTCGATACCAGCCTGAACGGAATAGTATGGCTTCAAATAAAATATGATATAACATCAGATGTACATTGAAATGCAACAGAGCGAACGGATAATCCAGGGGAGGGAGAGACGAATTGTTCAGAGAAAGCTGTGCAATGTATGGTGCGCAGACTATGTGGTGCAATACATGTTGCACAACGTACGCTGAGCAATCCATGTAATGCGATCAATGTAAATACACTTACATATACGTATACATATATATATATATATAAATATATATGAATACATCCCCCCAGATGGGAGGAGCCAAAGGGTTCCACAGGCCAGAACCCCCCAGAATGAGATTGGGGGGACACGACGCCGATGCCGATGCCGATGCCGATGCCGATGCCGACGCCAGAGCCGACGCCGACGACGACGACGCCGCCACCGCCGCCGCCGAAGCCAACGCCGACGACAAAGCCAACGCCGACGCGGACGCCAACGCCGACGCCAGAGCCAACGCCGATGCCGACGCCGACGCCAACGCCAGCGACGACGACGACGACGACGACGATGACCACGTCGACACCGACGCCGACGCCGACCCGACGCCGACGTCGACGCCGACGCCGCCGCCGACGACGACGACGCCGACGGACGACGGAAGACGACGACGACGACGACGACGTCGACGACGAAGACACCGCCACCGCTGCCGCCGCCGCCGCCGCTGCCGCCGAAGCCGAAGCCGACGCCGACGCCACCGACGCCGACGCCGACGACGACGCCGAGGCCGACACCGACGCCGACGCCGACGACGACGGCGACGACGGCAACGACGACGGACGACGACGCGGACGACGACGACGACGACGACGACGACGACACCGACGACGACGGAAAGCGCGGGGTGCACCGGCACCCTCCACCAAGTCTCGCCCACAGGGTAAGGACCAGAGGGCGGGGGGAACGGTCCCATTCGTGAGGACTCCACGAGGTTTCGAGCGTACCCATCCAGCAGAGGGAGGGGCTCGATCCCAGATGCTATGCATTGCGGGGGGGAAGGGGTGTGCAACCCTGAAACATACATGTGGTTCAACCTATGTGGTGCAACCTATGTTGTGAAATTCATGTTGTACAATCTATGTGGTGCAATCTGTGTGTGTGTGTCGGGGGGGGGGAAGTGTGTGTTATAGTATATAGTGGGCAAGCTGTGTTGTCCAGTATGAATGCATACGCACAGATACTACGTATAAATAAACATGGCGCAATCTACGGTGCTCGAAATATGTGGTACCATATATGCTGTACAGCAGATGTGGTGCCATGTATGTCGTGCCATCTATGTTCTGCAATCTGTGTTGTGCAATATGTGTGGTGCAATGTATGTGATGCAATCTACGTGGTGCAATCTTTGTTGTGCAACATGTGGAAAATCCTATTTGGCGGCGACAGGCGGCATCGAGGCGCCGACGGCGACAACATAGCCGCCAGAACGCCACACTGGCCCAGACGACGGGCGGCGACGAGGCGGCAACAGGGCGGCGACAGCGACAACACAGCCGCCAGAACGCCGCACCGGCCCAGACGACGGGCCGCGACGAGGCGACGATGGGGCGGCGACGGCGACAACATAGCCGCCAGAAGGCCACACCAGCCAAGTTCCTGAGAGAAGAAGAAGGACCCTCTAAGTGCAAACACTGTTTTGGGAACCTGCATCCCGCGTACAAGGGACTCAGACGGATTGGACGGGACCACGCGGAAGTGTGCCAGCGCCCCCGTGACCGCCGCCCCGCCGCCGTCTTTTTCCTGCCAGCCCGCCCGCCCCGGCGGCGGGGCCTGCCTGTGGAACCGACCGACGCTCTAGGACCCCAGCGGGCGGTGGATATGGATGGCTATATTTCGGCCCCAGAGGGCCCGACAGTAGGCGTCCTCACGGGCGGCGAGCGTATCTCGGGTCGGGCGAAAGGGGGGGATAGCAACGGGGGGGTTTGAGAATCAGCTCACGTAGCTGATTTTCCCGGCGCCTCCCGGCGCCGGAGGCGGCCATGTATCGAGGAATGGGCCCCTCGGTGAGGCCGAAACCAGCTGCATGCAGCAAATTTCGTACCCCCCCTTTCCCAATCCCCCCCTTTCGCCCGGCCCGAATATCCGTATCCGCGCCCTCGCGGTCTGGATTCCGGGGCGCGGTCCCTCGGATACGCGGTCGCCCAGAGACGTTCCGCGCGGAGCATCCTCGCAGGAACGTCCCGTATCCGCAGAGTCGCGGCCCAGGGGCTCGGCCGGCGAGGCCGCGGATGCGGACGTGTTCGCCCGCGATGTTCACCGTCTGCCACTCTTCCTGAAGATCCCATCCCCCATGCAGTGGTTGTGGATGAATCCCCGCCTCGGGGAAAACACTGCTGGGCACGGTCCCCAGACCCCGATGTCACGATTCGTCCCTCGAGACGACCACCCAGACGTCTCGACCCATTCCCTGAGAAGACCGGCTTCTCGTCCTGAGTCCTTGGTTGACGGTCCCGAGGCCCAGACATAGGGGAACAGGCATCGGCATAAACAGGGGGCAAACAAACCTGCCTCGCTTCTGACCATCCTCGCTCCCAAGAGATGCCCGGCGGTGCCAAACTGCGGCCTGTACAGGTCGGGCCGCTCGACGAGGAGGCGCGTGGTATGACTTGGTCTTGCCTGGAAGCGAAAGCGGGGTAGGTAATTCACGCTCTGATGAGTGTTCCTCCTGCAGAGGGACATGCCCGACTTAACTTAGGTCGGGAGCGGCCAAGACGGGGGTGTCCAAGAGGGGGGGGGTGCAAATCATGACCAGCGGCATGTAGGTGTCCAAGAGAGGAGGGGGGTGTTCAAGAGGGGGGGGGTGCAAGAGAGGGGGGGGGGGTCCAAGAGGGGGGGGTAGGTAATTCACGCTCTGCATATAGAGGAACACAGAGGGCCGTCGGCCTTCTCGCAGCGGCGCCGGACGCGCCGCCGGGGGGGGGGCCCCGGCGCCGATCCGAGAAAATCGCGCGGACCTCCAAGTGCTATGTTTTTTTGAAGGGGCCCTGGGACACACTAAGAAATACACACAAACGAAAGGATTCCCCATCTTTTCCCATATTTTCAAGGTTTTTGTCTTCACCCCCCCCACTTCCCATATTCTCCCATAGTTCCCTGGGGATCGACGATCAATCATGTCTGTGTGTCTTTTCCCCTCCTGAGTTTTGCAGCACTGCCTGCTCCCCCGAGGCCGGGGTCCCCACGAATGCGCGCCGAGCGCAGCGCGCCTGCCGCCTTAGAGCTGCGCTGCCCCGAGGGGGTGTCCGACGACCACACCAGACCACCCCAAAACCTCACCCGAAGGCCCGAATGTCGGGTTCTCGGGGGGGGGGTACAGGGCAGTTTTGAAATACATGAGTTTTGCAACAATATATATATATATATACATGTACATATACATATTTATATATATATATATATAAATACATCGGATTGTAATGCATGACTAATGCATGAGTAAATGTATGCAGGAACTCATCCTTGTTTGTACTACTAAATCCCTGCATGTTTAATACATGATCCGCACCCGGAGCATGTATTAAAAACGGCACCACACACACACACACACACACCCCAACCTCACCCAGAGACCCGAACTTCGGGTTCGGGCGGGTGCGGTGCCTGGGCAAAAAGCCCATGGCGGTAAGGCGATGCATCATGATGACCAACACACATATGCGAAACGCCATTGCGTCGCGCCCCCCCCCCCCCGAAACCAAAGTTGAAGTGTCCACGTTTTGTCCCTGGCCTGCGGCCTACCGCCCACACCCGTCAACTCTGAACTTTGGGGAAGGGGGATACACATTCTGGTCCGAAATGCTTAGGTAACTCAAGGCCTTGGCGAGACACGTGTGGACACTTTTAGTCCACCCACCGTACGGGATCCACACGTGTTTTTTTCCAATGTTCCCCGACAACCCCCCCCCTGGAAGTGGAGGGCACCTCGGGGCCTTCGGGTTGGGTTGGGGTGGTTTGGTGGGCGGCGAGGGTCTGGGCCCCTGGTAGGGCCCCCCCCTCTTCCTCCTGCTCCCGCTCCTCCTCCTGCTCCTGCTCCTGCTCCTGCTCCTGCTCCTCCTCCTGCTCCTCCTCCTCCTCCTCCTCCTCCTCGCCGCCCTACTCGCCGCCGGCGTCCTTGAAGGCCTCGGACACGCGGCAGCCGGTCTTGACCTCCGCGCCGCCCCGGCGCCCCCGCTCGCGGGGGGGAGGCGTGCCGCAGCCGCCCGCCGCCCCGGGCTGCGGCGGGGGCGGGCGCTGACCAGCTCTACCAAACCACCCCAACCCGAAGAACCGAGTTTCGGGTTCGGGGGGGGACGACTAGGGGGCAAACAAACCTACCTCGCTTTTGACCACCCTCGCTTCCAAGAGATACCAAGCGATGCCAAACTACGGCCTGTACTGGTCAGGCCGCTTGACGAGGAGGCGCGTGGTATGACTTGGTTTTGCCTGGAAGCGAAAGCGGGGTAGGTAATTCACGCTCTGAACGACGCCCCCCCCCACTGGAAATTGACGGCAGGTCGGGGCTTTCGGGTTGGGTTGGGGGTGCTTTGGCAGGCGGTGGCGCGGGTGGCCTGCACCCTTCTGTGGCAGTTCACGGGGGCCTCCCAGATCAGCTTGCTGGCTCTCGCGGGTCGGCGCTGACCGACGCCAGCCGACGCCAAGTCGACGCCACATCGACGGGAATCGACGCTGAATCGGGGCTGTGTGATCGATGGCCAAGCGCTAGCGCACGCTAGTGCTCTCGCAAGACGGAATTCCGAGGAAACATGCGACTCCCGTGAGATTTCATCGAAACACCTGCGGTTGGCTCCTGCCGTGTCGACGAGGACAACTATCCGACGATATCATTATTCCCGGACAGCACTTCGCCAGGGAGGGTTCCAATAGGGATACAGTCGGGGAGACGTAAGGCCCGGGTACGGGGGACTCGGAAATCCCCGACGAGGTCGTCAAAAAAATGGCGAGGCCGAGCCTGCATTTTGACGAGGCCTCCCGCTGCAGACATCCCACGAAACTCCTCATCGTCAAAATCCGAGTCGCGGTCGTCAAAAAACGATGGCGAACCCCGAGTCCCGGCAAACCCGGGTCTTACGCTCCCCCGATACAGAAAAACGACCACACAGAAGAAGCCCACAGGGGACGGAGAGCCCTACGCCGCCCTGTCCAGCAGCCGTGTCGCCCGAGACCCTCTCTGACGAACCAACAACACACACCCGTACCCATAGGGGGATCGGAGAGGGCCATGGGTGCGTGTTGTCGGATGGGGGTCCCCGCTCGAAAGGGAGCGTTCCCCAGGGTCCGACAACCCGCACCCATACCCATAGCCAGTCCTCCTCCCAGCGACCTCCCTATGGGTATGGGTGTGTGTTGTCCGTTCGTCATTCTCCTAACTGATTCAGGGACCGTGCTCTCGTATGAATGCTGGCCACATTCATGGTCCAGACGGCCACGACCCCTTCAACATTACCCTGGCGAAAGACCCAACCACGTATGCAGTTCTGAAATACCGTCGTTGCGGGCCTCGTCTTCGGAGCATCTCCTCACTGGGCCAATGCAGAATGCGAAGCGCGCGTGCCGATGTGGGGCGGCCGCCACGTGGGCGCCGCCCCTGGCGCTTTTTGCGCGGGACCAGCTCTGGGGCCGCGAAGCGTGCGAGGGGTGCGCCGCAACGGGGCGGGGCCGCCACTGGGGCTGTCGGCAGAGCTCCCTATATCGGGAGCGGCCAAGAGGGGGGTGTCCAAAAGGGGGGGGGGCAATTCATGACCGGCGGCATGTGCACGGCCCAGCGGGGGGGCCAGGGACGTCATGAAATAAGAAGAGGCGCCATGAAATCTGGGGAACTATCATGGCCCCCGCCATGATGTCCACCACCCCCTGGTCATCACCCCCCTCTTTTCCGCCCCCGACTATGGGGCCACGAAACACTGTGCTGGGCGGGGGGGAGACGCGTGCGAGTGCAGCCCCTGGGGCGTCCGGAGGAGCCTCCTATATCGGGGCACGAAGACGCTGCACTGGATGAAGTTTCCCGCGTGCGAGCGCATGGCATGTATGAGCCCCGTCGGCGCGGAGAGACTCGGGCCCCGCATCGAGCCGCAGCGCCGGTGCGGCACGATCCTACGAACCCGTCGGCGGCGGCGAGCGAAGAGGGGGGGGGGAAGCGAGGAGGAGAAGGTCTTCTCAGAGGGCGGAGGGATTTCTCAGAAGCCCTCGCGCCTTCCGAGAAGTATTCTGTGTCTTCGGGGACGGCTCCGGCAATTTCCCGGAAGACCAGAGGACTTCCGAGCCTTCTGAGAAGGCTTCCTCTTTCTCACGTCCCCCACCCCCACCCACACTGGCCGCCGACATTTGCTCCAGCCCCACTGGGAGGCCCAGGATCCAAGCCCACCCCCCCTTCCCCAACGGCGGAGGCCGCCCCCCCTCTGCGGGCAGGATGGGGGCCTGGTGCACCAGCGCCAGGACCTCGTCGAACTCGCCCACTATACCGACGGTAGCGCCTGCGGCCGCGGGAGAGGAGCGGGAGGAGGGGAGGCCACAGCGCGGTGGCAGGACAGGGGAGGGAGGGGAGGCACAGGGAACGGTGAGGGGCGGGCGGAACATTGAGAAACGGACGGGAAACGAGAAGGCGACAGAAGAGAAGACGAGCCACACAGGCAGGGAGCAGGGAGGGAGGAGGGGGGCACTCGGAGGGAGGGGGGGCGCGGGCCACTGCGCCTCATGCGGGCAGGGCCCAACGGGGGGTGCAACTCAGCACGACGTGGGCCCGCCCCCCCCCTGGGGGAGCACCTGCGAGCGGAAAACGGGCACCGCCCAAACCTCCGTCGAGGCCGCCGACACCCCGAACGGCGGAGCCTGGCTCCGCAGCACTGGGACCACAAACCCGTAGTGGAGATATGTGGCGGTGCCGTGCCCAAAGCCCCGCGGGAACGGCATCCCCCCTCTTCGTCCTCCTCTTCGTCTTCCTCCTCCTCCTCCTCCTCCTCCTCCTCCTCCTCCTGCTCCGCCTCCTCCTCCTCCTCTTCCTCCTCCTCCTTTTCCCCCACAGGCAGCAACAACTAAAAGAGCTGAACAATCTTCATTCGGAATTTCCATCCTGTGAATGGTCATCCGCGTGTTCGCTCTGGTGAACAAATCACCGGCGACTCCGTTGCACCGATACGCAAACTTGGCACACACCCAACCGTGCCGTGACTTCCGCGTTTACACCGGCCAAAATGCCACCCCGCGCGAAACAAGATATTGCCCAAACACACAAACTCGGGATACCGCCCAGACCTCGACCCCTTTGGACAGTGGGACCTCCTCCCGGGTGAGCCGCGTGGCGGCCTGACCGCAACGCGCATCGCGTCAGACCAAAACGCACGGAACGCACCGCCGCGAGCACTAAACCAAGCGTTATTCGATAACCTCTGGCCAGGCAACGGCACGCCGTGCGCGGTTGCCCTCCGAACGAACATGGTCCTGAGAGCGCAACGAAAGAGCCCATCTGCCGCAATGGCGCGGCACCGCCGCTCTCCAAGCTCAGCGCCACACCAAATCGCGCGGCCAGTGACCGAGAGAGCGCGGGGGGTTGGGGGGGGCAAACGGGATGGAGCGAGACGAGAACCTCATCTGAGTCGCCCAGGCCACGAACCTGATAGTCATCTCACGGGAAAACACACTACCATGCAAAAGCCTTGGCTGAACCACCCGACGACTTGCGCCCCCCGGGGCCGATCTTGGCGACAAGAGACTGCACGGAAACTGCCATTCCAACTTTCCAGAGCAACCCTTGTCGCAATGGGCTCGTCAAGACGAGTGGGGAACCGTGCATATCGGGGGGCAGGGCGCCGTTGATGGCGCCGGAAGACGCCCGCCCAAATGGACGCGCACTCAGATACCCCAAGATAGCCCCCAAGGTCCCATGCGTTTGACGGGGCCCTGGGACACACAAATAAATGGACACGTATGAACGGATTCCCCGTATTTTCCCATACTTTCTGGATTGTTGCCCCCCCCCACACTTCCCACATGTCTCCATATTTTCCTGGTGATCGACAATGAATTGCGTCTGCGCATTCTTTCCCCCTCCGAAAGTTCCCTTCTCGCTCAGAGGCCGGACGGTCAGAAGCCATTATTGCGCCGGCGCGATGGCGCTCCACGAAACCTGCGCGGCCGAGAGCTCCGCGCGGCCCTTGGTTTCAAGGCCTCCAAAAACACCGCTCCGCGCGCCGCTCGCGTTGGCAACGGCGGGGCGAGCTGGGCCACCGACCACCCAGCTCGCGAAACTTCGGGCGCGCTGGGCTGAAAACAGCTCCCGTCGACCAACTTTCAGGCCCCAAGGTTCCCACGCGTCTCCCCGCTCGACAGCCTGACGGCGGGGCTGGCGGCCCGCGCCTCAACCGTCAGAGTAAGGGCCCCGCGCAGTAGCCAGGCGGCGCCCACTTGCGACTGGCCAGTCACGTCCAAGGAGGAGCCCCCAAGGGCCTCGCGGCAGCTCAGAAAGGTCGCTGGCGCGGCCCCCTGCGCCACATCGATGTCGCCATCCCTGAAGACGACGCCGCAATAATACCGCGCGTGGCCATGGGAACCAAGAGGGGCCACTGCGGGCTCTACGGCGCAGGCCGACGTCGCATGGCCGCGCGGCCCCGGGCGCTCGGAGCGGCGCAGCATCAGCCCGCGCAGCAGATCGCGCCCCCACTTGTCAGGACGAGGTTAACCGACTCGAACCATCCACGCAGGGCCCCGCGCCAGGCGACCTCTACCCCTGCAGACGCCCTCATGTACAAGAGCAAAGCCGCGCGGATGACGTCGAAACCCACGTCTGCCGGACACGCAATGACCCGACTATTGCGATGGCCCAGGCTGGGCACACCTATATATATATATATATATACACACACGCACATACGTATAAACATATGCTGGAAAGGGGAAAAGACTCATGGCCGATCCAAATCTGCGCAAAGAAATCAAACGGGCAGACATGGCGCCCACCACACTCTGCCGCGCAGATGCGTCGTCGACTTGGTGCAGGAAAACCGCCCAGGCCCTCTGGGCCACGCCAGTGACTAATTCTGCCATCCCGGACCCGCGACGCGCACTTGACGCCAGGGTGCATTTATACAATATGGGGCCCTTCCACGAGAAGACTTCCACGAGAGACCCAACCCGGAGATCCCAGGACGCCCGTTGATTCTGGGCGTGGGATCGTCGCGCTTCCCACGGCAAAACCATCGAAGCCCAAGAAGCCCAGGGCGCCCTGGAGGCAAGCAGGGCGCTTCATGGCATAGGCCTCCACTGAATATATTGGGACATCGTGGTGGATCTCGAAGGGCCAACAGGTCGGCGGTCACCCCGCCAGGCTTCCGTCGCGCTGCCAGCGCGGACGTCGCGTGCCCGAGGCACCGAATCGCCGCATCAGGGGCCCCAGCGACGGGCCCACCGCGGCCGACGGCAGGAAGAACACAGGCGGGCCAAAGCAAGGAAACGTTACGTCCAACGACGCCACAGAAAGCCATGGGCATCTGATACATGCTGCCGATCACTTCTAGTCTGGACTCCCCCCGCCAAAACTCTGGGCCCCGCCAACGCGCGCCCGAGATCTCGCGTCCAAGGTCGAAGCTTCACGCCCAACTGCTCGACGCCCCGCTCGAGCCATGTCCGCTCGCCAAGCGGCGAGACCGCGAGCTCGACTCCCGGGGCAGCTGCAGCAGCCAAGCTTCGGCGACCTTAAAAGAGATGATTCGCGTCGAAGAGGCCGCCAGAGGCAGCGCGGCCGGCGAGATTGAGACAAACTGCGCGGAAGCATCGCTCACGACCGCGCGAAGGGCGAAGTGGGGAAAGACTTGATTCGCGCGCTTGATCGCCCTCTGCCCGGGCCAGAACAGCACGCCAGTGGCGCGACTGCGCCCGGCTAGGATGCCCCGCGGCGGAGACTCCAGAGGCTATCGGGGGCCCCCGAAAGCGTTGAATCTCCCTGGCCATCTGCAGAGGTCAGTGGGGATCCCAGCAAAGCGAAGCGAAAAACATTGTGACCAATGGCTCATTGGGCTAGCTGGGCGGGGTTGGCCCTGTCATCTCGAAACGCTCGACCAAGTGCGTCAAATTGCGCGGGCACTTAGACTTCCCCGAGAATTGTGGGGAGCTTTTCGTTCAAATTGCGATCGAAACCGCAGTCGGTGGAGCGGCGCCTCCTCTCGGAGCCCCTGCTCTCGAGACGAGCGCTCGCCCTCTGCCGCTCGGGCGCGGTGGACTTCCCGACCTCGCTCCGCGCACGGCGGAAGATCCCCCCCTTCCCAGGCATGGCAGAACGCACCATCTGCATCGGCTCGGCTCGCCCCTCGGGGGTCGACCCGCCATCAGCATCGGCTCGGATCGCCCCTCCGGGGTCGACCAGCTCCTCGCGCTCGACCAGGCAAGGCAGGCCTCGCAGGCGCTGAACAGACACGCGAGTCCTTCGATCGAGCATTACTATAGTCCTACCACGAAATGCTCATAGAAACCAACAATGTTGTAAGAACAAAAACAATGTTCTTAAACCATAAGACCGATGTGGTAAATCGAAAAGACTCCGCCAGAAATGTTCTAAGAACATGTCGAAGAAACCAAAAGGATCCTAGAACATTGTTTGGAAGGGCTATCGGCGGACCACGACTTTTCGCCACTGCTTGATCCGGGGCCCCCATCGGATAACTGCAGCAAAACACGGGGGGCGACGCGAGACGGCTCGCGCGACTCGTCGGCAGCGGATGCATGCACAGCGGGCCAACATCGGGCTTCCTCGGCAAGCGGCAGCCTAAATGTCAGCCCAGGGCCGCAGCTCTGTAGCCCGCGCACGCCAGTCTTCATAGGCCGGACAGCAGTTTCAGTGGAATCGCGAAACGTGGCACCACCACTGTAACGCAGAAGAAATGATTGATTCTGCACCTTGGTCCGCGAACGTTTTCACATGTCTTTTTGCGCCGTCGCACCCTGCCGATTGAACGAGTTAGCTGTGCTAGGGCTGCTTCCATCGCGCTCGCATCGCGGCGAACTCTAAAACGAGTGCCGCCGCGACGCGCAAGCCGGATCCATCGCCCATGCGGACAGCGACACTACCCGTCGTGGAATTGCGCCGCTGGGTCTCGCGCGGACATTTCAAACGACTAGAAGTGAATGCGAACTATCGACGTTGAGCCGCGCATATAACATGACATGAAAAACGCGTGAGAAAGGGTGGAAACGGGGTCAGCGGGTGACTCGGGCCACCCGCGGCACGCGCGCGCGCCCGCGCGCGCTCTGGCCAACGCAAACAAAAGCATGCAACGCGGGGGGCGCGCCGCGCAACGCCGTGCGGCGCCCTCCCGGGGCTCGCGCGCGTGCAAACGCAATGTGCTAGGAGCCAGAAAACACACACACAAAGAAATGTCAAACAAAGGGTTTTGGCACCACCAACAGTGCAACGCATGTGCACACATGCCACTAGACCCCCAGCGATCCGAACCAGGGTTGATGCACCGCCGCGCTCTAGGATGCA